CCTAGGTACGAGCGACCTGCGGTGCGAAGCGTTTGGGAGGGGGGCTAAACGCTGAACACGAGCGCGCAAGCCGCTGCCTTCGTGGGCCCGCGACAGAGGTCACTCTGGCGAGGGGTCACTCGCACGTGCAACCGAAACTCGGCGGCACTCGAGGGCGGGCCTTCGCAGAAGGCTCCGACGGCCCTCTGGGCGTCTGAGAAGAAAGGCACAGAGGGCTTCTCACAAGGGAAGCACGCCCGCATTCTGAGAAAGCCCATCCTCTCCTGGCTGCCCCCTCGGCTCTCGAGACCCACCTCGGCTCCCCCGTGGCCGTTCGGAACGATCCGGCCATCTCTGGACGCCTCTAGGCGAGGCGCGGCTGCTGGAAGCGTCCGAGCACGGGAAGCCGCCGATAACCGACGCAAACGCCCGAAGTCCTCGAACCACGAACCCGAAACTCTCCGATTTTTCCCCTCGGCGCGCCGCCGATATGCGACCCTCCCCCCTGGCGGCTTCACCCCATATTCGGGGATGGACAGAACCCACTTTAGTAAAACGTGGTTTAGTGGAAACGACCTCGGGCCCAAAATGGCGGGCGGAAGCATGGAAAATGACGGCCGCGGCGGGCTCCTGTCCACCCCCGATACATGCACCACCGTAGGGGGGCAGGTGAGGAGGGAGGAGGGAGGAGGGAGGAGGGAGGAGGGAGGAGGAGGAGGAGGAGGAGGAAGAGAAAGAGGAGGAAGAGGAGGAGGAGGAGAAGGAGAAGGAGGGTAACGGGTACGCCGCCGACCGCGACATAGACCCGACATCGAAAGGTATCGAAAGGAGGAGGAGGAGGAGGGGGAGGAGGGGGAGGACGGGGAGGAGGAGGAGGAGGAGGAGGAGGATATGGAGGAGGAGGAGGAAGGGGAGGAGAAGAAGGAGGAGGAGCAGGAGGAGGAGAAGGGGATGAGAAGGACGATGATGAGAAGGACAACAGATTGTGGCGTGACTTTTTCGGGCCCAAGAGGGCCCCAAAACGGGCCAAGAAGGCCTCAAGAGGCCCTGAAGACGGTCCAAGAGGGCCCCGAGACGCCCAAACATCTCCCCAAGACAAGACGGCCCATGAGGCCTCCAATACGCCCCAAGAAACCACCAAGAGGCCTCCCGATAGAACCCCAAGAGGCCAACATCGTCAAATTTACGTAGTTATTTGAAGGGTGTTAGCCTTCTCGCCTTTTCGGCTTTCCGACGTTCCACGACGGCTCAAGAGGCTCTCCCAAGACCGCTCCAAAACGGCCCAAGAGGCCTCCAAGAGGGCCCCAATACGGCCCCAGAGGACTCCAAGACGGCACAAGGGGCGCCCAGGACGGCCCAAGAGGGCACCAAGACAGCCCCAAGAGGGATCCAAGAGGGGGACTGCGAACCGAAAATCCGAGCCCTCCGCCTCAAGTCGGCCCCAGGAAGCTCCAAAAGGCCCCCAAGAGGCCCAAAGAAGCGCCCAAAAGGCCCCCAAGAGGACCTCAACGTCCGGACACAATCCTCCAAGACGGCTCAAGATAGCCTCCAAGTTGGCAAAATGGCCCCAGATGGCCTCCAAGTTCGCCTCCAAGACGGCCAAGATGGCTCCAAGACGGCCAAGATGGTTCCAAGATGCCTCCAAGACGGCCCAGGAGGCCTCCAACGCTCCCAAGAGGCCTCCGAGACGGCCCAAGACGCCTTCATGAGGCTCTCCAGGAAGGCCCGAAGATGTCCAAAATCATTGATTTCCATTTGGTTTTTGAAGGATTTCGGCTTTTGCGCTTCTTCGGCCTTCCGACGGCCCAAGACTGCTCAAGAGGCCATCAAGATCGCCCAAGAGGCTTCCAATATGGCCCCAGGACGGCCCAATAGGTCCCCAAGACGGTCCCAAGAGGGCCCAAAGACGGCCCAAGAGGCCTCCAAGACGCCCAAGATAGCCTCCAAGACGGCCAAGATTGCCCCAACAGAGCCCAAGATGGCTCCCAGATTTCTCCAAGACGGCCCAAGATGCACACAAGACTGCCCAAGATGGCCTCAAGATGGCTCAAGACCGCCCGACACGCCCCCAAGAGGCCGTCAAACCGTGCCAAGAGAGCCCCAAGAGGCCCCCAAAGAGAGCCCCAAGAGGTCAAATTCATTGTTTTTATATGGTGTTTGAACGATTTGGGGGTTTGCTCCTTTTCGGCTTTCCGACGGCTCAAGACGGCTCAAGAGGCCATCAATATCGCCCCAAGGGCGCCCAAGAAGCCTCCAAGACTGCCCCAGGACGGCCCAAGAGGCCCCCAAGACGGCCCGAAGCGGGCCCAAAGACTGCCCAAGAGGCCTCTAAGACGCCCAAGATGGCTTCCAAGACGGCCAAGATAGCCCCAAGAGGGCCCAATATGGCCCCGAGGTGTCTCCAAGACGGCCCAAGATGCACACAAAACTGCCAAATATGGCCTCAAGATGGCCCAAGACCGCCCAAGACGCCCCCAAGAGGCCTCCAAGACAGCCCAAGAGAGCCTCCAAGAGCACCTCCAGGAAGGCCCACAGATGCCAAATTCATTGTTTGTCCTTAGGTTTTTGAAGGATTTGGGGGTTTGCGCCTTTTCGGCTTTCCGACGGCTCAAGACGGCTCAAGAGGCCATCAATATCGCCCCAAGGGCGCCCAAGAAGCCTCCAAGACTGCCCCAGGACGGCCCAAGAGGCCCCCAAGACGGCCCGAAGCGGGCCCAAAGACTGCCCAAGAGGCCTCTAAGACGCCCAAGATGGCTTCCAAGACGGCCAAGATAGCCCCAAGAGGGCCCAAGATGGCCCCGAGGTGTCTCCAAGACGGCCCAAGATGCACACAAAACTGCCAAATATGGCCTCAAGATGGCCCAAGACCGCCCAAGACGCCCCCAAGAGGCCTCCAAGACAGCCCAAGAGAGCCTCCAAGAGCACCTCCAGGAAGGCCCACAGATGCCAAATTCATTGTTTTTCCTTAGGTTTTTGAAGGATTTGGGGGTTGGCTCCTTTTCGGCTTTCCGACGGCTCAAGACGGCCCAAGAAGCCCTCAAGATCGCCCCAAGGGCGCCCAAGAAGCCTCCAAGACTGCCCCAGGACGGCCCAAGAGGCCCCCAAGACGGCCCGAAGCGGGCCCAAAGACTGCCCAAGAGGCTCCAAGTCGTGCCAGAGAGGCCCTAAAGGTATCTTCCGCCGGCGTCGGAGAAGCCAGAAGCCTTTTGGCGGTTCACTGAAATCGCGATTTCGGTGTTTTTGTTTCCCAGGTACAGACACACCGAAATCGCGATTTGGGTGTTTCTCTCTGTCCAGGAAGAGAATCACCCAAATCTCGATTTCGGTGATTCCATCTACAAACAAAGAAACACCGAAATCGAGATTTCGGTTTCGTTGAATCGTGGATTAGGGGTGTTTCGACGCGGGGGGGGGGGGGGGGGGGGGGGGGGGGGGGGGGCGACGCGGAATAAAGCGTTCATGGCAGAGGGGGCAGTGGGCGGGGCCCCCGCTGGGGCGCTGGGACGCGGGGGGGGGTGGGGGGGGGGCGACGCGAAATAATGTGGTCGGAGCTCTAGACATCCTTTTCAAGAGAATAAAAGGATAGGGGGTGGAGGGGGCGCGCTGGCTGATGGTTGGGGGATGCGGAAGGGGCGCTCGGGAGGGAGGGCGGGGCGGTGCCGTGCCGAAGCAAAGCGGCCAGGGCGGAGGGGGCGCTCTGGCTGATGAGTGGGGGGGCGCGCAGGATGGAGGGGGGGGGCGGTGCCGTGCCAAAATAAAGGTTTCGGGGCGGAGGGAGCGCGCTGGCTGGTCCGTGGGGTGATGCAGAGGGGGCGGTCGGGATGGGGGGGCGGTGCCCCGAAACTAGAAAGCGAGGAAGGGGGCGCGCTGGCTGATAAATGGGGTGATACGATGGGGCGGCGGGATGGGGGGGGGTTGCCCGTGCCGATATGAAACGGGCCGGGGCGGAGGGGGCGCGTTGGCTGGTGGGTGGGGGGATGCGGACGGGGCGAGGGCTGGAGGGGGCGCGCTGGCTGGTGGGTGGGGGGGATGCGGAGGGCTTCTAGTAAGGGGTCGGAGCGGGCCGGCGCCGTGCCGAAATCAAGAGGTCGGAGCGGAGGGGGTGCGCTGGCTGGTGTGTAGGGCAGAATGGGAGGGGTCGGTGCTGTGCCGAAATAAAGAAGTCGGGGCGGAGGGGGCGTTTTGGCTGGTGGGTCGGGGGGGGCGGAAAGGGGGCGCGCGGGATGGGAGGGGGGTGGTGCCGTACCGAAGTAAAGAAGTCGGGGCGGAGGGGGCGCGCTGGCTCGTGGATGGGGTGATGGAGGTGGCGCGCGGGAGGGGGGAGGCGGTGCCGTGCCGAAATAAAGGGGTCGTGGCGGAGGGGGCGCGCTGGCTGGTGGGCGGAGTGAAGCAAACGGGGCGTTCGGGATGGGGGGCGGTGTCGTGCCGAAAGGTCGGGACGGAGGGGGCGCGTTGGCTGGTGGGCGGGGTGATGCGGAAGAGGCGCGCGGGATGGGGGGGCGGTGCCGTGCCGAAATAAAGCGGCCGGGGCGGAGGGGGCGAATTGGTTGGTGGATGGGGGGATGCGGAGGGGGCGCGCGGGATGGGGGGGCCGGTGCCGTGCCGAAATATATGGGTCGGGGCGGAGGGGGCGCGGTGGCTGGTGAGTGGGGTGATGCAGACGGGGCGCTCGGGATGGGGGGTGCACTGCCGTGCCGAAGTAAAGAAGTCGGGGCGGAGGGGGCGCACTGGCTGGCGGGTGGGGGCTGCGGAAGAGGCGCGCGGGATGGAGGAGGAGGGGGGCGGTGCCGTTTCGAAATAAAAAGGTCGAAAGGTCGTGGCGGAGGGGGCGCGCTGGCTGGGTGGGCGGGTTGATGCGGAGGTGGCGCGGAATGGGGGGGGGCGGTGGCGTGCCCAAATAAGATGGTCGGAGCTCTAGACACCCTGTACAAGAGATTAAGGGAGGAAGAGGAGGAGCAGGCGCATGGGAGGAGTGGATGGGGAAGGCGAGAGGGAGGCATTGGCAGTTTACGTGTGAAGGAGGAAGAGGAGGAGCAGGCGCATGGGAGGAGTGGATGGGGAAGGCGAGAGGGAGGCATTGGCAGTTTACGCGTGCGGGCCCCGTAGGAAGCGCTGGTAAGGAGCGTGCCGTACACTTCGGAGACGCCGTTCCCGTCCGCCTTGACGGTGGCAGGTTACCAGCGGTTCGAGCTGCGGTTCAAGACAGAGTCGTCATGGAGCCATATCCGAGTGGAGTACACTTGCTCTGCCACGGACCCCAACGAACTCTCTGCGACCAGGTCTGGGGCAGTAAAACGAGTGGCCCATGCATGCCCTCTGGCTCTGTCCCTCTGCTCCCCGTTCCCCTATTCTCTTACATCGCTATTTCTCATCCCGCCTCTGTATCCTCATCCTCTCCGCCTCGTCCTCCGTCTCTTTTTCATGGAAGAGAGGGGTTCGCGGGGGGATGAAAGGGGGGAGAAAAGGAGCGAGGAGCAGGGAGGGAGGTGGCGGAGGAAGAACAGAAGGGCTGGGGCGGGAGGGAAGAAGAGGGACGATGGGGGGGAAAGGAGCGAGGAGGGGGAGCCGAGGGGGGAGGAAGGGGAGGAGGAGGAGGAGGAGGAGGAGAGACAGGAGGAAGAGAGGAGGAGGAGGAAGAGGGGAGAGGGGGGGAGAGAGGAGGAGGAGGAGAGGAGGAGGAGGAGAGGAGGGAGAAGGGAGGGGAGAGAGGAGGAGGAGGAGGGAGGAGGAGAAGGAGGAGGAGAGGAGAGGAGGAGGAGGAAGAGGAGAAGGAGGAGGAGGAGGAGGAGGAGAAGGAGGAGAAGGAGGAGGAGGAGGAGGGAGGAGGACGAGGAGGAGCAAGAGGACACGCACGCCGCTGCTGAGTGTGATTGCTTCAACCGCCGAGCCACCTACTCAGCGATGCACAGCAGCACATCCTCGGGGCCAGCATGACAGGTCAGTTCTGCAGACGCACGACAACGTCACAATATGCCACACGAGCCTAGTTTAGGCTCGGAGGCCAGCTCGTGCAAGATCTCACGATCCCGCACTCGGAGGTACTGGATGGAATTGTCCGTGAGGTCTCATCCCACCTATTGCATCTGGCAGACGAATCCTTGCTGCGCGTGTCACTCCAAACCGTCGCTGGCGCTGGTCACGATCGACGTGATGCCCTCCGAGTCCTGGGAGACGTTGCCGTCCAAGACCTGCTGCTTGTGGGACTCCACATTGGCACTCGTGAAGGCCACCGGCGACACATTGCCCACCATGTCATGGGAGGCGCTGCCGTTCAGGTCCGAAGGGATTTGTTCGGAGTCCTGGGAGCCATGGTGCACTCCACATTGTTACTCTCCAAATATAGGGATGCGTTGCTGTCCGGGAGCTGCTGCTTGCGGTATTTCACGCTGTCGTCTGGAAGGCCACCAACGGAATTGCCCACCATGTCCTGGGAGGAGCTGCCGTTCAGGTCCGACGTGACGCTATCCGAATCCTCACCGTCGCGTGGCGCTCCGCTTGATTACTCTCCAAATCTTGGGAGGCGCTGCTGGCCGAGAGCTGCTGCTTGAGGTACTCCACCCTGTCGCTCTTGGAGGCCACCAATGGCATTATCTACCATGTTCTGGGAGGCGCTGTTCAAGGCCTAGTGCCGTGACGACAATGCTACCCACGTCGTCGGCTTGGTACTCGGACACCTCCGTAACCTTCCTGTCGACACACCGAGCGGTGCCCTCCGTGAGCTGCGAGGCGTTGCCGTTGAGGTTTTGCTGCTTGTGGGACTCCACAGAGTCGCTGGCCGCATTGGCGGAATGCCCAGAGGCCCTCGCCACGCCGAGTGCCATTACGACGCCGTTGTCAATGTTGGATTGGTTTTCGAATGCCTCCGTAACCTGCAGCTCCTGGTACTCCACAAACTTACGGGGCTCCACATAGGCTCTGGCCACAACCGACGCAGTGCCCACCATGCCTTGTGAGGCGTTGCCGTTCAAGGTCTTGGCCTGTTGCGTGTGGTACTCCAGATTGGCGCTCTGGAAGGCCACAGACGACGCGTTACCCACGGTGTCTTGGGAGGCACTTCCGTTGAAGTGGCCATGTTCACGAACGGCGCTGGGCCCTCCGCGATCTGGGAGGCATTGCCGTTGAGTTACTGCTGCTTGGGGTACTTCACCATGTCGCTGGCCACGACCGATTCAGTGCCCACCATGTCCTCGGAGGCCTTGCCGTTCAGCTGATTGTGGTAATCCGCAAAATGGAATGCCACGTACAAGGCGTTGCCCACCAAGACCTGGGGAGCGCTGCTGCTTTAAGTCATTGGCCTTGTGTTGCTGCTTGTGGTGCTCGACCATGTCGCTGGCCAAGACCGACGGGGTGCCCATCTTGTCATGGGAGGCGCTTCCGGTGAGTCCTTGGCCGTGTAGTTCAAGGAGCTAGCCGACACCATCTCGTCAAATGTTGATCGCTTGTGGTGTTCCACAGCATCGCTGGCCACGGCCAACTCGTTGCCCACCATGTCCTGGGAGGCGTTGCCGTTCTGCTGCTTGTGGTACTCCACCGCGTCGCTGCCGTCTCCGATGGGGAAACATTCAGGGGTGTTGATAAGCACCACGCTACGCTGGCATTGTTGGTTCAGTTCTTGCTGGTGGTGCCGAAGGACACCTGCTCCGAGCCCGCCTTGCGCTCGCAGTTCTTCTAGTCGCAGCCCTTGTCGAGTCTGCTACCCAGCAGGATCTTTGCGGCCGTGAGCGCGTGCATGTCGATGCGCAGCTCCTTGAAGAAGATGCGCGCGACGACCAGCGGCATCGGACATGCCGCAGCCGAAGACATAGCGTTCTTGATCGGAATCTTCTGCAGTACCAGGTTGCCAGCCGCGCCATCGCGCCCAGCGGCCACAATCGCGAGGAGAAGGATCAGGACCAGTGCAAACCCAAGACTCATCAACGATGTTGAAATAAACCTTCCCCCCAAGCTCCATCTTCATTCGCCCCTACAAGGACTGAGGGAAGTGCCCCGTTGGGAGACAACCAAGATGGTGAAGCGTGCCAAAACACCACACTCGGGACTCCAACGCCACGAATCAATGTGATTGTTGCGTCTGGACGATCCTGAATCGTGCCAGAACACCATTCCTTGGACTTCAACACAGCGAATCAACGTAACTGTTGCACCCTGACAATCCTGAACCGCTCCGGAACACCATTTCTGGTACGTTAACCATGGTTAACGTACCAGAAAGGGGAACCCATGGTTAACCATGGTTAACGTACGTTAACCCATGGTTAACCATGGTTAACCAGGGGTTTCACGGGTTCCCCTGCAGGGGAACCCGTGAAACCCCTGCACATGCTTAAGACGAGTGTGCGCGGCGCTACGGCGAGAACCACATTTTGAAAAGGAACCCCCTCAACCCGTGAGACCCCTGCAAAAGGTTAGGAAGAATGCACGCGGCGCTAAGGCGAGACACATCTTGGAAACGGGCCGCCCTCAGTTCGCGAAACTGTTGCAATGGTTTAAAACGAATGTGCGCGGCGCTGAGGCAAGAGCCACATGTTGGAAACGGCCCGCCCTCCAAATGTGGAATTGTTGCCAATTCTTAAATTTCAGGATCAGGAGTGTTAAGGTGTTCAGGAAAAACGCTCGAGGTGAGACAAGGAGGAGTTATTTACAAGGAAAAGAGATGGAGGAGAAAAAGGACGAAGGGGAAGAGGAGGAGGAGGCGGAGCAGCAACAGGGGAAAGAGGAGGAGGAGGAGGAGGGGGCGATGATGAATTTGATGATGATGATGATGATGATGATGATGATGATGATGATGATGATGATGACGATGATGATGATGATGATGATGATGATGATGATGATGATGATGATGATGATGATGATACTAGTGCGCGCACGTCTTGCGTCAGCCGATGTTGCTCTCTGCAGCGTGTGTTGCTCAAAGGGGGGGCTCCCTGGATGCATATGCAGGTAGACCCTCTGCTGCTGTACACACTCACACGTGACTCTCTGTCGGGAGTGTACCATCTCTTTTCTAGACCACAGGTGGAAGAAGCGTGTCCGCCTTGTGTTTGCCAGTGCGTCGTCTCGGGCGAGGCGAGTGGGGAGTGCCCCGCTCTCGAGCGCCTGGTCTCCCAGCATCTGGCAGGCCCGACGACCAGCACGGCGCGCTACGAGTTCAACTTCGTGCTGCACGCCGGCTTCGTCGTATTAACCTTCGTGGTGGGAGCTCTCCTTGGTCGGGGCTGCTCTTTTCGGAGTTCCAGGCGGGTGGTCAGCTTGACCGATGGCGCAGCTGGTGGCAGCAGCAGGGCAGGCAGGAGCGGCGGGGCCGGCGGTGGTGTCATCGTCGTTGGCCCCGGGGCGTAAGGTGCTGGTGCGCAACGATGATGACCTCTGGCACGTTCGCATCCTGCTCGCGAGAGTTGAGGACACAAGGTGGATCATATATACACCCGACAGTGACCTGTATGAGGAGGACTACGGCCCCAACAACGGCGATATCACAGGTGTGCGGGCTTTCAAGGCGGACGGCAGCATCCCAGCGAGCCTGCAGGGTGCCAACATCTACAACTTCAGAGCTGGTGCTGAACCTGATCAGGCCGCGCTGCGCGGGCTGATGGAGGAGGCGCAGGATCTGGTGGCGCTGGCAGGCCGCGGAGTGGCTCCGCCGGGAGCCGAACCTGAGGTCTGGCTGTTCGCGGAGTCGAACGCAGTCTTCTCGGTCGGTGACGAGTGCCCAGGGCAGCCGGAGGTGTTCGTCGAGAAGCGCGGCATCGCTCGTGCTGGGCTGGACGTGCTCTTGGTAGAGAAGGTGGCGAGGAACTAGGTCGAGCAATGGAAGGCGGACCACGCCGCCTCCAGCGACGCGCGGGTGCTGCCAGTTCGGTACTCCCCTTCTGGCGAGCGACTGCGCAGCTGGGCGAACGTGGCGGAGAGCGCGAATGAGAGTGCGATCGACCATTGGCCCGTCAAGGGGCCACGGACAGCGCAGTGGGTGGCCCGTTTCATGGCTCGTCGCAACACCGGGCCCGAGGACCACCACCGCTGGTGGAGATCGACCGCGCGCCTGAACGCCTCAGATTGGGGCGTAGCCGAGCATGGCCAGCTGTGCTCGTACCTGGAGGCGGCGGGGAGTGTGGATCAGCTCGACCTGTCGAACTTGGTGGTGATGGAGAAGATCGCACGCCGACTCCAGACCATAGAGTACCAGCACGCAGAGAAGGTTCGAGAGGGAGAGCGCGGCGGAACCGCCGGCGCTTCTTCCTCCGTCGCTGGATCAGCAGTTATCACGCACGACGAGATG